CTCTCGCACAGCCCATTTTAAGAAAGGGGGTCGTCCATTAATTACTTCAACATTTTTTACGCAATTTTTTGCCCCCCCCCCACCCTTTTCAACAACTGTCTAACTTTCAGTAACCCCCCTATTTAATTATGTCAACATTTTATAAACCCCAGTCCCCCCCCCAAAAAAATGAATTATAATATAAATAAATTTAAAATATACATTTTACTTTGTGCTGATCTATTTTAATGACACAAATTTTAGGGAAAACATTTCATTACGTGTTTAGCTTGTTAATCAATAAGTTAAAAAGTTTTTAGACTTAAAATAAATTTATAATGCAGAGTCAATAAAAAAGTTTTGAAAGACTAAATATTATTGTTTGTGAAAGTATACAAATGATTAGTGTCAGTGATGCTGACAATTATAGTATAGTTTCAGCTGCTATCGTCTTCCCACGGAGTAGCCAGGTGTTGCTCTATCGTAACAATGGGCATCAGGGACATCATTTGGGTAAGGCAGAGGGGGATTTTGGCGCCCCCCCCCCCTGAATTTGCAGGCTTTATTTAAATTGCTATTTATTGTAGCGCCTCCAGGAGTAAACAACTTAACAGCCGACCAAGTTCTGGCTTTGCCCCGCCCCCTGAAAAGCCCTGAAATGACGCCCCTGATGGGCATAGTCTATAGTAGCTGATTTATCATTTTCATCTTTGCGGAACTGATATACCAAGCAATTCAACATCATCCTCATCATTCAGCACTTAAAGTAGAAGCATTGTCAATGTGAGCAATAATTGCCATAAGCTCCCTCTCTCTGTCTCCTTACAGCTACTCGCATTGGCCGAATCCTTTTTTGTTGAGGAGCAGGCGCTAATTTTTTATGCTCAAGAGGGCATTGTCGGTAAAAAATAAATTATTTAAAAAGACTTTCTATCGTAGACGAGTTCAAGCGACTAAAAATTAGAAAATGACTTTCCTAAAATTCGTTACGCCAGTACGCACAGAAAGTAGGCCTATTGCAAAAGGGTAGTAAGGCATTCTATGAAGCCTAAAAATTTCATTTAAATGTAGAAGAAACTTGTTTGTTCTTCTTTATTTATTAAAATATGTTCTGCTCTTATTTTCTTTGCGTAATGAATTTTAAAGAAAGTATCTTCTACTTTTAGTGCGCTTAAACTCGTCTTCGAAAGAAAGTCTTTTAAAAGGCCCTGCCCCAACACATCCTCAGAACCGTATCTACCTATAAGCTAAATAAGATGCAGCTTAGGGCCTCAAAGTCTGCCGGGGCCTCATACAAATTTTTATTTTTTATATTTTTTTTTTTATAACCTATTTTTTTCACAATGTGTTATCTTAAAAATAAAATTGTGTCATTGACCGGAACCCGGCCTGCTTGATGTAATTTTGAGCTATGTTGTTGGGGAGGGGAGGATTCTGTCACCCTCTAAATATAATTTGCTGTTTAGATGCATTTACCATTTTTTGCTGCCGTTGGAGAAATATACAATTTCTTATCATAGTCTTCAAAGAGGTGGCCTTTGATGCTATATTTCTTGAAAATTGGCCCAGATAACAGAGAACTAAAGAGACAGTCTGACATTAGGTGTGAAGCAAATTTCAAAACAGTATCTGCCATAAATGCGAGTTGTCGGCAAAGCATGGATGTTCTAAGTCACATTTATTATGATGAGAATGAAAAGGGAGCTAAAAGACCAGAAGCTGGTACTCTTCTGGAAAAAATGTAGGAACTAGAGTTTATTTTTATGCTACATAATTTGCAGCAAGAGTTTCCCAAAGCCAATATGGCTCTCCGGGATTCAAAGACTTACAACGTACTCAAATTTGACGAAACACATTCTAACTATGTTAAAGAATATTCGAGAGAATTTTGATGAAATAGAAGAAGAATTTAAATCTTCATTGCATGGTGTATAATGTAAGTATGGTGAAAAGAAAGAGGGTGCGAAGAAAACAAACCAATAATGGAGCTGCCTGCACCTGATGCAGATTAACAGCTTTCTCCAAGAGGCCCAATTTCGATTGAATTCCTGGTTCATATCATAGAGATCCTTGGGACAATTTTAACGAGAAGAGCTACAGGGTACAATCATACTGCGTTCCTAAAAGAAATTTGACGAAAATTTGATCGTGTGAACTGAGATTAAGACTTAGCAGCATTTGTATTGAAAGCGACAAGATTATCTTTTGATGACATAATCTACGACTTTCCTTTTAGGAATTTTTTTTTTTTAATGTTTCAAGTTGTAACTTGGAGTCTTTTATAGGATTAGATCATATCATTATTCCCGTGATTTTTTTATTTCATTCGTCATTATTTTTTACATAAAAATTAAAACACAGGGCTGTATATATTTTTGTTGACCAGCTGATGTAAAAGGGTGGGGTGTGGGGTCCTTGACTTTGTTTAGCTTAGGCTTAGGGCCTCAGCAAGTCTAAGTCCGGTCCCATCCCATCTCAAAATCCTACAATTAATTAACAGTTTTATCGCTCTGACCCGGATTGCGCATTTCGGCTCGGCTGCTACTAATTTCGCGGATGTCAAAAAAAAAAAAAAAAACCCCGAAAAACACAAAGCTAAAAAAAAAAAAAAAAAAAAAACCCGAAAAACACAAAGCTGAAAGAGTTTATTAAAGAAACAACAATTTCTTATCGTATCCGCATTAAGTAAAAGTGAGAGGCCGAGAGGAATTGCGGCTGATAACGAAGTTGGATCGCTATATGCATAACTCTGGAACCACGGGAGAAATAAACAGATGTTGAGATTCGGCAATGCTCCACTTAGATCCAGAGTATCAATAATGGAATGGCATTATACCTTTGAGAGAGAATGAGAGAAACACAATAATCCATTATGAATCTACGCGATTGTAATCCTCGAGAAAAAAGGCAGACAAGTAAAAAACGCACAATGGTCTTTGGCGAAAAATAACCACCCCTGCCTTCTTGTTGGCCCGAGTCGGCGCTAAAGGTGGCGTGTCGGAGCCTCGCGCTTAGCTCTTATGATATTATACGGGCCTTTTATTAATAATAACCAGGCCGAACAGTTGCAGTTGCTGGAAATGCGTCTTCAGTGATCCCAACGGCTGGTCTGCTAACCCTTTTACAGGAATATTATAAGAAAAATGATATCCTGAAAGGTCCATTAGGCGTCTGTTGTGTCTCGTCTCTAGATTCATATTTAAACTACCATTTTCTTCACCTATTGCAGCGTAGGCCTACTTTAAACACCGGTTGGATGTTAATTTTTTATGTAATTTACTTTGCAGCTGCCATTGCAAAGCCTTCTTCTGTAGCAGTGGTTCTCAACCTTCCTAATACCGCGATCCTTTCTTACAGTTTCTCATGTCGTGGCGACCCCCAGCCACACAATTATTTTCGTTGCTACTTCATAGCTGTAAGTATAGGTGTTTTCAGATGGTTTTAGGTGACCCCTGGTAAAGAGTCGTGCGACCCCCAAAGAGGTCGCGACCCACAGGTTGAGAACCGCTATAGGCATTTGGTAAAGAAACTGCATGATTAAACCTTGGAATTTCTAATTGCCACATGAAGTTGCATAGTCGAGGTCTTCACGCGATTTACTCTGGTGGGATGGTATGGGAACCGGACAGACTTCCAATTTGATTATTTTGAACCTACTAATATTGTGTTGCCAGGCAATTATGAATTATGAGTAGGCCCGGCGTGGCTATAATATTATTATATAATTAGAGGCAAATCATTTCGTATGTTATGTACGCACAGAGGGAGGGCTGTCGATTTTGGAGATTTTGCCCATGTTTGCCTATGGCCGCGGAAAGGGTGGGGGGGGGGGGTCTCGACAGAAAGTACTTACATTTATTCAAAAATTCTACAATAATCATCCTGAAATTCTGACAGTCTAAAAATAGCATATTAATATCTCGAATGCCTTAAAAATATCCCGCAATGTTTTGTAGGAATTATCGTCATAATGTTGCCAAGTGCAATCAATAAGAAAAACCTTGTATGATGCACATAGATCATCTGTGCTTTGTTGAGAAGCACTGCAAAACTTAGTCCGACAGTTTGGGTCTCTTTTGAAGTTTATCACAAAGTGATTTGAAATATACTGTGTCTAGAAAAAATGTAACCATTTTGGATAATGATTGGTCAATCGAGAGCGCGTCTTGAAGTATATGATGAAGCTAATGGTGGACATTTCGAACACAGCCTATAGTTTAATAATATTTAACATTATGCTAGAATTAAAATAAGTTTTTGGAAGGTTTCCCTTTTGTTTCCCGACACAGTGTACATTAACTTGTTTGCTCCGTCAAGCGGTGCCTTCCTCAAATGCTCACCTCAGCCTGGAAGACTTCATTGCCTCATTTTTAAACGACCTTTTTACCAGTGGCGTAGGCAGGGTCGTGTTGATGTGGCAGTCTGCCCCAGTCAACACTTATTTTTCTAAATAAGGAGGCGTGGCATCTTCAGCCAAGTGTTAAGTTTTGTTTTGTTTTTGTTTTTTTCTGGAAGGTGGGCGGAAAATATATTGGCCCGTACCTGGCGGTTATAACACTAATCACGCCATTGCTTTTTCGCATATTAGTTACATTGACATCTGCTTATGTGTTTGTGCTTGTATCATACGGTACCTACAGGGGTGGACTGGGCCGCCGGGACACCGGGAAGATTCCCCATGGGCCGCTAGGAGTGGGGATATAATAAAAATAAAAGTCATGAAGATAGGGCCGCTTTTTGTTTTTTTTTCCCGGGCCGCTTTGATTTTTTCCCGGGCCGCTTGAACTCCCGAGTCCACCCCTGGGTACCTATGTTAACAAGTTTTGGTGTTATTGAAGCACGTTCTTGAATTTGATTGTATTTTATATCTCGGTGATTTCTGTCTATGCGCAACTTTTTTGTTTTTTAAATGCCGAAAACTCAAATGGTGTTTATTTAGCATTATTATTATTTTTATCTTCTTCTTTTAAAAAGTTAGCATTAAACATTTTTCCAGCGCCCCTTTAGGTATTTCTACCGCCGCCTAAGACTACTGAGCAAATATCACCCCCTGAGCAGCCCCCTGCCCCTGGGATACAGTACCACTGTACAACTCATTTTGAGAATCACAGACATAGAGGCCAGCACAGTTGACGGAGGGGGTTAAGTATGTCTGGTTTTGGAAAAGCTTAGTTATGTAGGCGTAGGCTTACGATGCGTCCCGTTTTTGTCCCGGCGTCCAAAAAATTACCGAAGCAGCACACACACACAAAGGGGCGGGGGTAGGGGAGGCGGGCGAATGTTGACTTTTTAGCGTATGTAAAATATCCATAGCTTCTTATATCCTACACTACACAGATATTCTGAGAAAGGCTATGCTTAGACGTAAATGGGAACAATAATAATATGAGATTAATCAGGCTTTTAGACATTCACTTATTTTTTAAAAATCTTTCGTCTTTAAAATAATATTTTAAAATTGTATTTCTGTTTGTGTGTTTCATCTGACTTGTCTAACCCACAGAACCCCTTCGCTGAGGTCGTGACCTATGGGTTGGGAATCTTTGTTGTAAAGTGCTGTAACTACTTTACTTTAAAGCTGCCCTGCCCTTATCATTGCGTGCTTATTGATAAGGCTATAACTATAAGGCACACAAGCATAGCCATAACCACTCTTCTTCTCCACCATCAGACATATGACCAAAAAAAATGATAAGAACAACTAAAGTTACATTAAAAAGTTTCTGTTATGCTAAATTTGTTGTTAGGAATCTGAGTCTCCAACTTAAAGCTGAATATGATGCCATAGTTATTGGAGCAGGCATGTATTTAATTTTATTATTAATATATATATATATATATAATATAGTAGGCTAATATAGGCCTATCCCATGACTGTAAGAAATATAATCATGATTAATTATTAAATTATTTAATTCTGTGAAGTTTGAATTTTGAAACCAAGGCATCTAAGGACCAGATCTTATGGGATGGTAGACACAGAAGACCCATTTTAGCCTTCATAGACATAATAGGAAGTAGTGCCCATGTTGGGAAAGCTTCGCTACAAATTTACAATAGTTGACAACATTAGGCAAAGTGTGTTTGTTTATGAAAAACCCCATACAATTTTAGGCATAAATAAAGAAGCCTGATTTTGGCCTTGAGCCAAATTTCCATCTCCAACACATGAAAAAATCACATTCATTTTTCTAAAGATAGAAGCAATATTCTAGCATTACTCATACAGTCAGTAATATTCTCATAACTACAAAAAATTCCCCATTACTGATCTATTCAGAGATTCTGGACTAAAGAAGAATGACATTTCTGAGAAAGTAGAATTAAATGAGAAATGGGAAGCCCATGGGGAACTACCAAAACAGGGCTCCCACAAACCCATGTATTAGACTGCATAAATTTATATAAAATTAATATTAACAAAACGATCCGCTGTGACTTCACACAGAACCATAGGTCCTGGTTTCAACCCTTAAAGATATGCCATAATATGGTAAGCCTATACATACGTAGACATAGGCCTATATTCATTATAAATTTAAGCATAAGCCTATTGTGCCTCATTGTTGAAATGCACTGTAAAACTTGTATTTAAATTTCAGGTCACAATGGATTAGTTGCTGTGAGTTTTATTGTTATTTTTCTTTCTTTTCTTTTTTTTTTTTTTTTTTGAAAAAAATTACTTTTAGCAAGGCAATATTTTTTAGCAAGGCAATTTTTCATTTTATACTTATATATCTAGATCTTGCTACAGACTATAAAATATTTTAAATTTTAAAAATTTTTTTAGTTTTATTGTTATTTTTTTTTTTTTTTTTTTTTTTTTTTTTTTTTTGAAAAAAATTACTTTTAGCAAGGCAATATTTTTTAGCAAGGCAATATTTCATTTTATACTTATAGATCTAGATCTTGCTACAGACTATTAAATATTTTAAATTTTAACAATTTTTTAATTACATGTGGAAGTGGTAATCACTCGGTGGAATAGCTTGAAAGCATAACAATATGAATATTCAGTAAAGGAATCTATTCCATAATGCAATACCTTTTTTGTATATATATTTGTACTGGTTTCATACAATAACAAATGTTTATATAATTAATTTAAAACTTTGTAAGGCCTAAAGGAAGTCCAGATCAAAATCAAGCTCTTATATACCAAATTAAAATGCAGGAGAAGACCATCTGATAATCTACTGAAGATCATGGGTTTAGTTTATACTATAAAACTGCAGAGAACTTTTACTGTTAATTTTAGGCAGCATACCTTCAGAAATCAGGATTAAATGTCTGTGTACTGGAAAGAAGACATGTTCTTGGAGGAGCTGCTGTTACTGAGGAGATTGTGCCAGGTCAATTTTTTAATAATCCTTCTTATAAAATGAAATTTTATTTTATTTTGTTTTGCTATCTTGTAGATTTGCAAGAAACTTATTATTTTTTTAAATTTTAAAGTACCTTGTCAACAGTTCTTTATTGTGCTTTTTTATTGGGATTTATATGTAATTAGTTTTTGCATTATTGTTTTTGTTATGATTTAGGATTTAAGTTCTCCAGGGCATCCTACCTCTTAAGTCTTCTGAGACCTAAGATTATGACAGACTTAGAATTGAAGGTATTTATCAATTTGAGCTATTACAATATAAGTAATTTTTTAATGGAAATTATTAGCATTTTGTCCTAATTTTTAAAATTATAGTTGAATAATAAAAGGCAATTATTGATAGTAAATTCAGTATTTCTGCTTTAGATTCAAGTTATGAACTAACTGTTAAAAGATTATTAGTAAATGAAATTAAAGAATTAGTAAAAAGTAAATGTTACATTTTTCTGATATACACCTTCAGAAATATGGTTTGAAAATCTACATGCGCAACCCAAGCTCCTATACACCATTGTTAGAACCTGGTGGATTAAATGGCAGAGCTAAATCATTAACGATTGGTAAAGATCCACAGCAGAATGCTGAGCAGATTGCACAGTTTTCTCTCAAAGATGCCAAGGTAAGAAACTATACTACCACTGTTAAACAAAATGTTTCTTGACTTAACGTTTTTTAATTTCAGTCAAATTCAATCACACAAAAAAATAATTTTTTCAACTATGTATAAAAATCGGCATTATTTTATAATTATTTTGCATAGTTTTATAAGTTGTCCTGAATTTTTAAGAGGATAATTTTGATTCTTCTTTTTCAATAGTGTTTTAAATGAATTTTTTTTTTCAATATCACCCAATTTGATTACTAGATTGAACCAAATTAAGAAATTTGAGCATTCACCAGTCTGTTGTAGAGATTCCCACATTCAAGCTTTTAATTGTACTCACAGTTGTTTTTTATAATTTGTTCATCTTTGCATCAATTAGGCATTTTGTGTGTATGAAGAACTTCTAGATCGTATTGTTACAGCCCTTGATCCTTTGTTAGACAATCCACCTGTTTCATTACCTTCACTTATGGGATCCTCACTACGAGACAAGTGGAGCAGTGTAGGGCCAGTCAGGGCACTAGCAACTTCTTGTAAGAGCAAGTTCATTCATTGATTACTAGTTGCTTGAACAAGAAATACTTTTTAATCAATAACATTTTAACTTTTTTCACCAGTAAAAATTTTGCAAATAATTAAGAATACTATTCTGCTGTGACACATGGGCTTTTTATCTTTTTGAGTGGGGTGGCATTTAGTGTGGTCAAGTCTAATTTGTTTGTACTTTGTGGTAAACAAACAGAGCTAAACATATTCTATGCTCTATGACTTCTCTGAAACAGCGCTGCAAATCAAATGCTTAGAGCCTCTACACTAGTTATTGGTTATTGCAATGTAAAGATACATTTTAGTATTAAAACTGAATTACTAATTTTTGTCTTTTTAATGATTAAAAAAAATTAATTAATTAATTTTTTTTAATATATAAAGAATTTTTAATGAAAGGTTCCCCATATTTTTTAAATTGTGACATTATAATAATGGCTATTTATAATCTTGCACATTTTTTTAGAATACTTACCTATGTGTTTAACATTCTATCACCTCTAGTTAAATGTTTTGATGACTCAACCCCTCATCTATATTGCATTCAATGAATCATAAAGTTCTGGAAACTCTTATGAATTTATGTTATGATATTTTTTTAAAGTTAGATTTATTAAATAGTATTACATCATCATTTTGTCATGGTCAAATAACAGAATCATGTGTATATTAAATATGCTGTTCAGTAATACTTCAGTAATAGTCATCTTTGTCTATGTATTACATCAGTAAAATCTTTAGGAAAAGATCTGCCTGCTTTTTATGAATTAATGACTGCTCCTGCCCAAAAGGTTGGTGAAATAATTTAACATTATATGACTTTATTTTATCTGCATCAAAACAACATCCATGACACAGATGTCATGTTACCTAATTACTGTCTGTGCTGTCATACATACTGAGTAATGAAACACTCTTTTATATGTTTACAAACATAAAATAAACTTTAAAAATAAATCCATGAATAATATTAAGAAACACTTCATCTGTAAAAGGGGTAGAAAAACTGCCATTTATTGGCCTCATTCAATGGCTGAGCTTAACTAAATGCCACCCAGGTTTTACTCCAAAAGTGTATCCATTTAACACACACATATGTATCCTTTAGATAATTTCATAAATAAAGTCATAAGTACTGCCATGGATAAGGTTGGGGGGGGGGGCAAGGGACTTATGCAGTCCTTAGGAACATCACTGGTCACATTTATCACTCTAAACTTTACCCTGCAGCCTTCTCAGTAATTGTTGTCACAAATTGTAATAAGAGACTATAATGCTTAAAACTTAGATATTTAGGTGATTTCAGCTCTTGTACAAAATAAAACTATGTATAGTGTCTTCTTTTTGCTTTCTTTAATAACTAAACAAGTTGGACCTGCAGCCCATTTGTAATATTGTGTAGCTCTTGTTCAAGAGGTAACTGATTCAAAACCATCCAAGATCATCCCCAGCTAAGTTCATATAGCAGTTTTATTTAGGTAGAATAGACTGATTGAATAAGTAAGGCATATATTCTTGGGGGAGGAATTAAACCCTAATACACTTCAACCACCAAAGCTGGAAGAAAGTAGCTAATGAGGCCTGATTTAAAAAGCAGCTGTCTATGCAAAAAATATCCAAGTTAAATTACATCTGCCTGTCTGATTCTGAAAACAATAGTGAAAAAGAAAAAAACCGGTAAACAATAATGGTATTGCATAGCGATAGAATGAAGAAAAAAGAAAACTTCCTTAAAAAATAACTTTGTCTATAATTTAAATACATTTTCTTAACTGAATTATATAGTTGATTGTGTGTTTCTTTTTTTATGTTTTTAAATTTTTCTTGGTAGGATATGGGAGCAGCTGACCAATATGTTAATGTTTTTTTGCTCTGGGCAATCATGCATATAATATTGTTTAATTTTTAATCTTTAAAATAATGAACCGTTGAGTAAATCCTAGATTTTTTCGCAACCTTTTAATGTATGTTTCAGTAACATGCACATTATGTATGCATTTTAATTTTTTTTATATATTTTGTCTGGATATACTCTAAAGTTTAAAAAATTAGAATAATTATACATTTTCTTAATTAATGGGTTTTTTTTCTAGTTATATATTTCTTGTAATTGTAAGTAATAACAAGAAACAAAGTTTTACCAAAACTGTCTAATAGTGACACATGCCTTGTAATTTATTAATGTGGTAATTAACATATCCTGGTGTGTAAATGATCCTTGTTAAATGACTTTATATATACTTATTGGTTTCTTTTTCTACCTGAGATCTTTAAGAATTGTCTCATTCTCCAAGCAGATTTTAAATCGATGGTTTGAATCTGAGCCATTGAAGGCAACTCTTGCAACAGACAGTGTAATTGGGGCAATGATAAGTCCCATGCATCCTGGCAGTGGGTAAATTTACATTGTATTTGTCCAAAATTTTAAATAAAATCAATCTTAACTCTACTGAAATGAGGATAATAAATTATATGAGAATCAGAATATGGATTCCCCAGAAACTTTAAAAGAGCATAATGCACCAAATAATATTTGGATATTTCTAAATTGTTGTTTTTTTTTTTGCAAGTTTCTAATACTCAGAAGATAATTTACAATGGAATTTTGCATTACATTCATATTGCATATTTTTCATATGCCAGTAGTTAAAATCTGTTGCCATCCCAGGTATGTCCTTCTTCATCATGTGATGGGAGAAATAGAAGGTGTTAAAGGTGCTTGGGGCTATGTGGAGGGTGGTATGGGAGGTGTTTCTCAAGCCATTGCCAACTGTGCTCAAGACCATGGAGCAGCAGTTTTTTGCAATAAGGTGCATATGAGCTTTTTTTTTAAATTTTGCCCAGGAATACCCATTATCAGCATTCTGATTCACATTGATACTGAAGAAACAAATTTAATAATAAACATTTTCTTTTTACAATTTTAGCACACCATATAATTTTTTTTTAAAGTGGTATAGTGGTATCTAGTATAAAAAATGGACAACAGTTGATATATTGTATTTTTAAACAAAATCTAAGCTATCCAGCTATGTATTTTTATTGTAAAGAACAAATAAAATTTGGTTATTGGATTGTATTTAGGGAAATACTTGATTCTTCCACTTTTATTTTCTATGTCATAGATCTTGTAAACTTGCTTGGTAAAGAAAACAGTTGTACATTTTTAAGATTTATGTTTGTTCTTTCAACAGCAAGTTTCATCAATAATAGTTTCCAATAACAGTGTCAAAGGTGTGGTGTTGTCTGATGGTACAGAAATCAGAGCAAAAGCTGTTCTGTCCAATGCCACTGCTAAAATTACATATCTCAATTTAGTACCTCAGGTATGGCTAAGCATTAAATATTTATAACTAAACATTTTTTTATTCCTATGGTATCTTGGCATTATATTTCATGACAACTTTGTTTAAGTTTGAAAGATATTATAAAACTTATATATATCTTATTTGCTATTCCTTTTACGACACACTAATGTACTGTAACATCTTGACACAAAGCATAATACTATTTATATATTACAAACAATCTGAATAAAGATTGCAAAGGCCGTTAGATTTCTCTTCATTTAGCAGTTTCAAATTGACTATTTGTTTCACGTACTACAGTACTACTTACAACCATATATCCTTCCTCGGTATTAGGCAAAAATTAAAAAGCTTTTGATGTGATGTAAAAAAATTTTTTTAAAAATTAAATAAAAATAATTCATAGAAAATATTTAAATTGTAATTCATATATTATTTTTTAAGTATAGTAAGAAATGAATGTAGAGAACCAACTGCTCCTTTTATTGTTCAAGTTTTTTTTAGATGTTAAAAAAATACTTCATGAATTTCAAGCTAGTATACCTTGTGGTTCTGATCATATGCATAAAATATAATAACTTTAGATCAGTATGTTTATAAATCAAAATAGCAATATAACAAATGAACTAAAGTCCCATGTATTTGATCACTGTGTGTATATTCTTTTTCTAGGGAATTTTACCTGAAGAAATAGTTAAAGAATTAGAAACTTATGATTATACTTCACCTGTGACAAAAATCAATGGTACATTTTTTCTTCCTCAGATAATATATTATGTTTAATAAAATGACATACAACAGATGCTCTATAATAATTTTTATATTAGTATAAAAAAAGCAGAACATGGAGGAATGATTTAAAAATAAATTTTTATTCATGAACATGTCTTGGGTTAAGGTACTCTTAATAACCTAAATATTCAACTGTTGAGTGTTATGTTCACTACACAAGCTACATTCTATTTGAAATTTGCTCTAAAGATTGTAAATCTGTGCCAATGTGGTATGTTAAATAGTGGAAAGAAAAATTCTTCTCATATTTTCCAGTTGCTGTGGATAGAATTCCAAACTTCATAGCAGATCCAAATATTGAAAGGAATAAACCAATGCCTCATCATCGTTGTTCTATTCATATCAACTGTGAAAATAGCCAGCTAATACATGATTCTTATTTAGAAGCCCAATTAGGAAAGATAACTGAGAGGTTTTATATCATTTTCTCTTATTTTTAATTGATTTTTAAAAAATATATACGGTAATACATCATTTTGGTTGTAAAACCGGCATTGAAATTTGAATTCTTATTCTTTTTAATTTAAAATATGTCCAGTTATTTGGCTGAACCACAAGTCTTTGATTTTTTAATGTCTACAGGCCAATGATAGAGATGGTAATTCCATCAAGTTTAGATCCAACATTGTGCCCCCCAGGCAAACATGTTGTGTTACTTTTTACACAGTTTACTCCTTACAAATTAGCAGATGGTGACTGGAATGATGAGAGAAAAAACAAATATGCAGATATTGGTGAGTTCATTTAATATTAATTTTTGTAGAGAACATACATTTAGGAATGACTTATTTTATATAAGTATATCTATGTGAATAGATAAAATAAATACAACTGCTTTAAACTTAAGTTATTGTTCTTTTTATTTGGATTGCATTAGCTTATCCAGTTGCTGAAACCAAAAGGACTAAAACAAAGCAGTATTTCATAGATATCCACAAGTATATTCATAAAGTTTTAATCTTAAGGGTTATGTCCACAAACGAAAGAGCTATATATTTTTGGAGAAAAGATAGCAACTAGATTGGTTTATATCATTTCATATCATTTGTGGTTGTCTTGGTTAGACTAAGTAAATTCAGATTAAAGGACGATGGGTACTGTGAATTGAGAGGAAAGTAATTATTCATAGTAAAAGCATGAATTTTATTATAAAAACTATAATAATGGATTAGTCCTACACAAATAACTGGAATGGAGTTAAGAAACAACAAACATGATTTTGGAACCAACCCAAATTGTAAAAAATAGGTGGCAACCACAGAGAAGCTACTCATTTTTACAAAAAAAATTTGGACACACCCCATAAGTTAGGAAGTAATGAAATTTTTTTTGTAAATAACATATTTATTAGGACTGATTTCAGGTTTATGTATTTTTTTTTTCTTACAAAATTTAATACACTTCTGTTACACAGTACTGCACTTAATATTGTCATCCCATTAAAAACTTTTAAAAGTTTGTACCTATTTGTATTTTTCTTTCAAGCGTTTATCTTTTTTGTTTTATATATATCTGGCATGATCACTTTCAAAACCATTGCTGAAAGTAAATTAAGAATTAAGAAATAATATTGAATTTTTTAAAAATAATTGTTCTAATTAAGGTTGAATAGATTTTCAATTTGTTAATTTTACAAATACTAACTGTTAAATTATCAAATTTAAGCATATTTTAAGATAGTTAGTATTATTAAGATATTATTTATAGGGTGTAAACAGTTATTCATTAATCTTATTAATTTTTTCAGTATTTGATAGTATTGAAAACTATGCACCAGGATTTAAAAGCTCAGTGATTGGTAGAGACATTTTAGCACCACCAGATTTGGAGAGTATCTTTGGTCTCACTGGAGGGGTAAGACATATGCAGTTTAGTGAAATCAAGACTTAAAAAGCTACCCGGTATATAAATTCTTGGCTCAGCACTGAAATTGTTTAATTCTATTGGTAGAGTAATGCAGTGCTGTCCAACCTTTTTGATTACATGGGAAAAAATAAAAGTGTCCAGTCCCTTGAGAGCCACAAATAACATCTCAAAAGAAAATAATTCAAATTATTAATACTTATAATCTTATACTAAAGACTCATACCGGTAGGCCTATATCACATAACAGCATGGGCTAAACAAAAATATAAATAAAGTGATTAAAAATCCTTTATATTAACTTCGCTTATGTTCGTGGGTGGTTGCCTGGCTGGGTGGCAATATCTTTGGATGGCTAGTTGACCCTCTTCCTGTCAAAGTGAAACTTGAGACATAGACTTATTGCCAATGACTACACAATTATCAAATTTTTAGCCCAACCCACGAAAATCAGTTTGTCATGTTTTTCAAAGGCAAGATGATGGAAATATGATGACATTGATTTCACAAAATCAAATTCACAATAACTGTGCTAAATGTGATTCTTTTAAAAAATATCGCAAGTGCTTTTGGTGTGTAATATTTACTTTTGTTTTTCTGAAATAGTTGGTGAATAAATCTGCTGTGTAAACGTGGGCGGGTCATTAGAATATTAATATAGTTGAGGGGGCGTGAAAAAAATGTTCAGTTGTACGCATATTTTTTCAAATCTTAAGCCCCAACCTTCATTGCTTATAATACATTTTATAATGGACTTAAGGGGTTGTTTAATTTTTAAATGATACATTTTGCTTTGAATTGTTTGTGCAGTTGTCTTAATTTGAGGTAGTTATCAGTAGCACATCCTGTCATTAGATTTTCTAAACTTCCACCAGTCAAATTGTTATGTTGTTTTTTTTAATTTGGAATTGATGTTGGTCATGAAATAGAAATCATATTCACAAACAAATTTCTTCCAAAAATATGATCAAAATTTTGTTATATTTCCATAGTTGTGGAGATTCATCAGAAGTAATATTTAAATCAAACATAAGAATGCGAGAATTTATTTGGCGATGCATTCTTATGTTTGATTAAATTTAAAAAATTGCTATCAAGAATCTTTCTACTGTTTCTCACAATTCCTCCCTGACTGAATTGCACTAACAACAAACAATCACAGTGTGTATCCTTCTTTCTACCCTTTGAACATCTCATACTCTGATCTGAATACCAGGTACTTGTCCCCAGCGCCACAACAATACATGATGTAGACACACCCTCCCATACCTGGCTAGACTACCTGTTTAAATAACATGGTGCCAAAAAAGTTTCACACTGCCCTCTGTAATCTTCTATTGTGACACCTTTAGTACCGCAGTTCTCATCTCCATTACACTGACCCAAATTCTTTCCCGGAAGTAGTTAACTCAGTATGCTCAACTAGTTATTTCATCCAACTTTGTCCTGTTGGTGTGGGCATGAATAGTTTAACAATGATCAAATAGCTACACAAACTATTTTTGGTTTCCCTTTAATCTTTCCCAACACCAGTAGTAATTATAGCTGATACGCTGCTATGCCTCCTCTGTACAAGCAATAGAAAGAAGAAGATAGTATCTTATTTTATGTCATCCAGATTGCACTGTTGATGTGCTTAACATAAATTAATGCTTCCAGTCAAACCATTCAACTCCTTAGCTTTTGTGACCTCCTTCTTTTCTATGTACAACTTCTCCTGTGCTCTCGCGTAATTTCCCAACAATATTAAATCATTGAATGTGATTTTATTTTACACAGATCTTAAAAATTCGTGAAGCTGTGGCAGGCCCTATAACATAAGCTGGTGGGCCGCATGTGGCCATCTGGTTGAAAAGCACTGGTTTAATGATTGTCCTCCTTGAAAACTTAAATTGATTTAGTCGACTTGGCCAATTTAATGGTTTCTTTACTATACTCCTCTCCCCTTTTAGATTAGTTTTATCATGGTGATCGGTAGTAATTAAGTAGAGGGGATGATTAGAAATTTATAAAAAAAATTCAGTCATAGCAATTTATTTTAGTGTACATATGATGTATGTATGCTATATCACTTATGTTAATATGTTACTTACTTACCGATATATTGCTTACTCAAAGGCTCATTTCAAACATATTTTATTTTTAAGAATATTTTCCATGGCTCATTATCGCTGGATCAACTCTATTTATCCCGTCCAACTACTAGTCTAGCCAACTATAGATGTCCTATATCAGGCTTGTATCTGTGTGGCAGCAGTTCACATCCAGGTAACTTTAAGTTGAAAGTTAAGGTTCGTTTTTTCAAGAAATATGTTCTTAATTTTTTTTTTTATTGATAAGAAATATAGAACAGACTGTATACTCTTCAGTTATGTAACATGTTAATTGTGTTGGGACAAACTGAGTTGAGGACCATCCATAAATGTGGTCACACAAATTGGCAAATTCACCCCCCCCCCACCCCTTTATCACAAAAGTTAAAAACCCTGNCCCCCCCCCCCCCCCCCCCCCCAACCAGTCCCCTTAGATGTGTGACATCATTATGGACAGCATATTTTGATACTGATATATTAATTATGCACATGACATCCCCAATCTCCAATGGATTATATAAGTTAGTCATCTGTGTGAAGTCTCTTTTAGAAGTTGAAACATGGCCTTGTCGGTGTCATTCAAACATATTGAAGTTTCTAGTTCAACATCCAGGTATTATGAGCCAACACTTCTGATGATTACACATTAATTTCGTAAAAATATATAACAAATTGATTGTGTTTATTTGATTATATTTACTTATTCTATATTCTATTCATATAGGAGGAGGTGTCATGGGAGCAACAGGTAGACTTGCAGCTTACACAGCTCTTGGAGATTTTAAGAGCCTTTAGTATCATGGCATTGTATAATTATAACTGCAATTTTTATTAATCTTTCCCCACATTTAATACCTCTGTTTTTTGTTACCTGGTATAATAAAAGTTACTGATATAATATATTATTATCAGATATTACTTTTACTTATGAAGCTAGTGGTCTGGCATTGTCAATAAATTTTTGTGGTCTATTACTCCTATTTGAATTATAAATATTTTACTACATTCACTGACATCTTTCTTCAATATGTATAGGCACTCTCTTTCAATACTTCAATTATCAGCTAGTTTTATCTTACAAATCTTAACACACTATTATAATAAATTACTGGTAAATGAATATTAAATTTCCTTTTGACATATAAATTGTACATTTTGTTTTATATACCGGGTAACTGATATTCAAATGTAACAGTGCGATTCTTAATAATGATTGGGTCAATACCTTGTTAGGCCTATTTATTATTTCTATGTTTTATGTTTACTTATTTAAGTATGTAGTTAAAAAGAATTTTGTATAAAAAAAATTATATCTGCCTTGTGTTAAAGTTAAATGGATTTTTTTTAGCACTGATATCCTTAAACTGGTTTTTCCTTTTTTATATTAAAGTAAAATAGATATTAGTGATAATGTAATTTAAAGTACGATGCAGGCCTGGTATGATCAATTTATAATAAATTACAGAACTAATTTTGGGGAGGAAGGTATAATGAGATTTTGTATACCTGTACTGGGACATTTGTTTTGCAAAGGGTAGGTGTCTTCAAATATCATGCATATAGCGGGTGGTAACCGTTTTATAGAATTTTAACACACTGCTCAAACTTCTGTAAATGAAAGAAAAACAATTATATTTTGGATGCAATATAATACTTTTATTACTGATATATTCTTGCATCCTTTTAGAGATTGCAGGAGCCCCTCTTATGTAGTATGACATCACCTTTGGGACTCAACAAGCGTCCTTTTTTGCATTATTTAAAAAATATATGTTGCAATAAAAAAAAATTTGAGACTTCTTATTAACATTTATAAAAATACTAATTACAATTGAAATCGTGAATAAATTTTACAAAAAAAAAAAAAACATCAGTAAATATGATTAAAAAGAATGAAAGCTGTAATTTAATGGCAATGCATTAACAAAAGTGAGTGAATATTTGAACCTATAAAAAAATAATATGAAAAAAAAAAAAATTTGAGACATATTATTAACATTTAAAAAAAAAATAATTACAATTGAAATCGTGAATAAATTTTAAAAAAAAAAAAAAAACATCAGTAAATATGATTAAAAAGAATGAAAGCTGTAATTTAATGGCAATGCATTAACAAAAGTGAGTGAATATTTGAACCTATAATTTGCGCAACGGTACATTGTGGCTCTGTTGCTTATTGTGAGGCCTGGACCAAATGGCTTGACAGTCTCCTCCTGTGAGACAGCCTATGTACATAATACGTGGGTGGCCCCTAAAACGAATAAATTTTTTTTTTTGCTGGCATCCGTCCATCACAATGTGACGATGGAGTGGGCTTCGTAGGACGAAATCCACATGGCCTGGGATTATACTTGAAGGATTATAAGCTGGTTCCCAACAGCAAATCGCCTCACTCCACGCCGCTGGGTAACCCAAGGGAACATCATTGGATGATACAGATTGGCACCAGTGACGTCGCAGGAGTTGTTTCATTGTATCAATGTTATCCGCCTTTCGGGACTCCATCTCCGGGTTTGATTTCAGAGTTTCCTTCTCTTAGATGAGTTGCCGTCCAAGGTTAACGAGTCCCATCTACCCGGGGTGCTGGTAAAAACGATAAAACGAATAAATAAGATCGGCTGAAGCCTAAAACAGTTAGTGTCATTAAATTACAGACCTCATAACAATACTGCCTTCTTTCATATCTTTTGACCTTTATTCAGTAGCAAATTTATTTTAGATCCCAAGAAAAAATCAAAAGAAATGAGCACAACTAAGTAAATGATAGGCCGTAATAAGGATTTAATTTTATTAAATTAGGTTAAAAATCCCTACGTAAAAAGCAAGTTTAAAGGTCACTAAATGTGTTGACGAAAAAGTCAATTTTCATACATAAGAATGAAGAATCCTTATGTTATGGAGTTTGATAAAGACTTACGGCAAAACTTGGATTTTTTTCTTGTCATAAAGTTAGACAGTTGTTGACGAAGAGCAAAAGGCATTACTCAGTACAAATAAGCTAAAAATCTTGACTTTCATTGCATTTGCTTGAAAAAAAAGATGATGGGTATAAATTTATTCAATCTTTTTTTTGGCCTGGTAGTATCTTCTTAGCATGGAAAAGAAAAGCATCAGATAGATCTGAGTAGAAGGAAGTTGTAAGGCAGGCCAAAGCCCCACACTGGCTTTAGTGCCACAGGAATGGATAGCTGGATAGTAGCTTCTTAAATGTTTTTAATATAAAAAGTTGTATGAGAGAAAAATTAATAAAAATTAAATAAAGAACACCTAAAAAAAATAAATAAGACTAGGGATCACCTTACAATATGCCAGGGGCCGCTTGTATTTTATCTTGTTTTTAATACCTTTCATTACAGATTTATAATTAACATTGATCGGGATAATTTATTTTTTTCATTACACTGTGACTACCGTATCCGGAAATTGATCGAAAGAAATTTCGTTGAAGGTAAATTGATCGACGGTATTTTGATTGAACGGAAATTTGGTCGAAATTTTTTTCAGTTTTTACGTTAAAACTTTTGCTTATATTTTTTTTTTCGAACGCATTATTTTGTTTAGCAATATAGTATGGTGCGTTGAAAAAGAAATTCGACGAAAATTTTAACGTCTGAAATGAAAAAAAGGTTCGACCAAATTTCCGTCGATCAATTTACTGTCGACGAAATTTCTTTCTATCAAATTTCCGGTAACCTTTGACTACAGTACACAACAAAACTATGATACATTTTATGTAAGCAGCTAATTTAAATTTGACAATTTCTTTTCTTTTTTTTATAAGCTCCCCGTACATTGTGTTATATAATTCTTTATAATAAATAATAGGCCTAATTTAATACTGGTATTTTTTTTTTAAAGTTATAATTTGAAGAGTGGTTATTTGTTCCCAACATTATTTATCTTTTTTAACTGGCGACGAACAGAAGCATCACTAGGAGGGTGTGGGGGTGACATGAAATGTAAAGCTGCAAGTTTTTCAGAACTTGCTAGAGTCAATTTCATAACATATCAATCATAGTAAAATACAAGGGTAGGGTGCCAAACAGCACATTGTGCAATGAACACAGGATGGGTTTTTATATTAAAATAAGATCATTGGCATAGCTAGAATTTGTGACACCCATTGCGGTTTATGGGGTGAGGGCCGTCCATTAAGTACGCCTGTCACGCTCCAGGAGGGGTCTAAGATTCTCAGTGAGAAACTGTGAGTTTGTGTTAGGGGGGGGGGGGGGGGGCTTTTTTTTTATACCCAGTACAGAGATGTTGTGATGGAAATCATGGATGTATTCTGACAGAAGATTTTATAAGTTTCATAGTGAATTGTGTTTTAGAATGAATTAGGTTAAAAAAAAATTTTTTGTCTGAAAATGAGTGTTGTGCACCGGTACTTTAAAATGTAAAAAAAAAAAAAAAATTTCCAGGATTTGTGACAGGGGGGGGGTAATCATGAAAATCAAGGGTTAACAACCGTCAAGGAAAAAAAAATGCTAATTTAACAGAGTTTACTAGAGATGGTTTAGTGATCAATGGTAGTAATTGCAAGAGCTCTGTGAAGGTGCCACCAGAGGTTGCTACCAAGGGCTGCATGACGTCCTTGGTTAAATATAATTATAAAAATAATAAAATATCAGACAGGTTGCAGTACTTTTTAGTTATTTAGGCAGTCGCAGGCAGGGCTGGATTTGGAGAGCCAATTTGTTCATCACTCCTGGATTAATATTTTATGCCTGATACTTTTGAAATAAAAATTATAATTATTCACTCAGTAAAGAATAATAAATCAAAGATCGGTATTTATTCATTCAATGAGCCAAATAGGCGAGCGCTGCTAACAGACAAGAGTCACGAGCAGGGCTGCCACTCACTTTTTAAAAATTTCCCAAGATTTCCCAAGATCTCATAATATATCAGAGTTTTTTTTTAAAGGGGGGTTTTCTATGTAATTAATGTAATAATAGATTGAATCAATGCCCCTGAAAAACATGGTGCATTAATTGACTGAAATTTATTGAAAAGGACATCTAAAAAAATGTTTATCACATAAAAAAAACAAAATAATTTGTTAAAAAAATAATTTATAATCCAAAATATCAAAACCCACTGGAGTTAGGCTACTAAATATTACCTCCGAATTCTCTGGTAACAATATCATCTACAGTACATGTGTAATAGAAGTCACTTGAAAAAAAGCTTACAAGGCTCATCAACACAGAATTCATTTTACAAAGGCAAAAGGTTCTTCATCAAAAAATGATTTTTATTATTGTGAATCTGTTGATTAGAAGTGGGGTTTGGAAAGCAATAAAGCAAAATTTATTAATAATAATTGTAGTTAAAATGGATTGATATTATGATGAAAACAATAAGTTTTTAATTTTTTCTTGTAAATTTACATTATAACGATTTCTTCAAAAAAAACAAAAAAAAAAACTTTTAAAGGAATTGTTCATTTATAATCCTACAACGTAGGCCTATACTTTTAATATCTTAGTTACCTGTGTTTCAATCCACAACTATTTTTTCCTAATTGATGAAAATTAGGCTGGATTTTTTACAGTTGCATTATATTTTGAACACATTGTAGAAGTAATTGAAATAATCAAATTTTACTATGGCATGGATTCTTGATTGAACACTATCGTTCACTCTTTGGCTTGTACTGTTTTTCGTATGGTTGCTAATGTCTAAGAGCATAATGATAAAGTTTCC